GGATCTTCTTAATTTATATCAATGATCTAGACCTTGCTACTAATAAGTAACTAGTCAAGTTCACAGTATATCAATCAGGTGATACATAAAAAACACAATTCAGAAACAGCTAAGGATTCCAATGCGAAAACAAGCCAGACACCTGGCATATGAGATTTAATAATCTCAAAAACAAGGACAGATATGCAGATAGCAGTAACAAAAACTGTAAATATAACATCCATCCATCCTTAACCACTTTATCCAAAACAGCTAGAAACTATAAGCTCTGGGAAGCTAGAGCCTTTCATGGCAAGCAACAGGTGGAAGGTAGGATACACCCTGGATGGGAAGTCATTGCTGGGCATACACAGTTACAAACACACCAACGCCTACACCAGGGCCATTTGTTCTCAGAAGTTAATTAACCTACCACTATGTGTTTGAAGTGTGGGAGGAAACCAGAGGACCTGGAGAAAACCCATGGGGAGAACATCCATTTTCCAAGCACTTTGTCGCCCCCCAGTGGGAAGACTCATAATTTAAATAAAGCATACAAATCTTAAATTCTCAAGTTTCCTTTATTGTACGTAGAGTTAATTAATTCTAACATCCAAATCATAAACTGCTATAAACTAAGTAACAGCTGTTTGGAGTTTTGTGCAGTTCAGGGCCTGTTGACATGTCATCTGTCATGACGACATCACTGCGATCACCATTCAAGCAGCCAGCTGTTCTTTGTTTTTCTTATTGTGCTTCTGAGGTGAGATTAAAAACTACTGCAATACATGAAAGGATCGGGGTGGTGAGGAGAGTTGTATGCAGAGACTTTCAGAAATCCTAGTATTTTAATTTGCTACGTCACATTGTCTTCTTCATAAACTACAGGCAGACAGAAACACCGCCCTCTATAAAGACAGTATAATAATAATAATAATAATAATAATAATAATAATAATAATAATAATAGCTTACACTTATATAGCGCATTTCTGGACACTCCACTCAAAGTGCTTTACAGGTAATGGGGACTCCCCTCGTCCACCACCAATGTGCTGCATCCACCTGGATGATGCGTCGGCAGCCATAGTGCGCCAGAAGGCTCACCACACATCAGCTATCAGTGGGGAGGAGAGCAGAGTAATGAAGCCAATTTATAGATTGGCTTCTGTATATCTTAAAGGATTGCAGTGTGTGTGACAGATGTACTGTATATAAAAAAGTAGACAATTTCCACTGTTTATTGTTATTTGTCAGGACAGGACAGTCACACATGGATAATTTCTCTGAACCTTTCCAGGATATTTTTAATATTATTGATATATAATATTGATGATAATATATTTCTGAAATAATCTCTCACAGACATCTTTATTTTACTTTTATCATTTTTATTTAATTAAATTACACATTTAATATTCTCTGTATAAATATTGTCAGCCTTTACCATCTGTGACAGTGCCTTACTGACCTACTGTACACTTCTGTCAGTCGGATCTATACAATTTTGTCATTTTGATTTTGTCCAAAAATGTCCACTGTTTTTGTAATTTTTTTCACACCTTTTACAAATCTAGAAATTTAAACTGCCAGTCTCTCACACATCGCAGGACACTTGGAAACTCCGTATTATCACGATTATAGCCCCCCTCCTTAAGGGTGCTCCAGCCCTTTCACTTTAGATTTAATTCTGTGCACCTGACCCCTTTTCCCGGCCCACCTAAAAAGCCAGGCGCTGATGTTCATCCTGGCTCTGCATCTGGTTTCCACACCGTGCGAGTCCGGGACCTGGAAGCGCCCGGTCCCGGTCCCGGTCCCGGTCCTGTTCCCTGGCAGCCGGTTCCGACCCGGTTCATGGTTTTAATTCCTTGTTTGGATGGTTCTCCTGGCTATGGACTTACTCTTGTGTTTTTGGATACCCTCTATGGATTACTCTTTGGATTGTTTGCCTCGGCCACACCTTGCATGACGTTTCCCTAGTGTTTCCCCACTTCTTCGGATTGTGTCGTCCGCATAGGGTCCGGAAAGAACTGTTCCATACACGTATCTCTGTGTTTGTCTATGTCCATCTAAACAGATACTGTAGGTTTTTATTTACATGACCTTACTTATGGGCTTCAATATCTTAAAATCTCAATCAAGTCTCTCTTTCGCTAATATACGTTAAGGCTGGGTGGATCGATAAACGCCCTTCAATCTGTGGAGGGTAATTCTTCACATTTGGAGATCACCTCATCACTTCATCGCCACCAACAACTGGTACCTCCATTTTCATCTGGGGTATCAGGCAAAGCTAAGAGCTGCTTATCACATTTTTCACCTCATATACAGCTATACTCTTCCTCACACTGATTCAGTCATAATCTTCTTTCTAAAAGCTCTGAAACCCCATGGTGCGGCACTGTCAGAGCACCAGCTCTACCTAAAGAGCTACAACTTTTACACCAGGGTCCTGGCACTGATAGGTAGGAGCTGTAGGACAGGATGGTCTAACTGAGGGGATGGTTAGTGTCTGCAGGCTTTCTAGATCTTTGTAAAGCTGCAGCACTTCAAGAGCCTGGCGGACTTGGTCAAATTAAGCAGCTGATTAAGATCATTAAGAAAGAAACCTGCAGACAAATCGTCTTTCCGGGACTAGTTTTGGACCACCTTGCTGAACTGTAGGTTTAAGGAGACTTAATGCAATTAAAGATATCTACATAAACATAATGCAACACCTAATAATAGTATGGGATAATATGCACATTCATTCACCCATACAGTATACTGTATCACAATTAACATAATGTATTTATATTTCTGTCTTACTCTAATAGGTGTTATCTTGAAATAATCCTCACCGAAAAACAGAAGCAAATTCCTGCAGTCCTTTGCTTTCTTCAGCATGTTTTCTGCCTTTTTCAAATCCATATGCATTTGCATCAGGGTAGTTTTCTGACTATCATTATCACACATTTTACTCAGCCATTAATACAAACTGCAAGTTCAAACTAATGCATTGTTTTGTTCTTTGGTGTCTGTCCCAACATTTCTGGCTTTTTCATCTCCCTAAATCCACAAGGCATTAAATTAAACAAGGACATTTACTTACCATTAAAAGACCAGAGATAACACTGTTTGCTCCTTCAACTCCAAAAGTTCTGGCAGTGACACATTTAGTGAATACGACTTATTACTTCTTCTCCCAGCCTCAGTCTACATGTAGCCATCACTTTTTCTCCTTTACCAGGTCTGTTCTGCACATACCTGAAATGAAGAATGATTTTTACACGGGGCAAGTAGGAACACTGTCCATTCTCTAACTGTACTGAAAAAAAGAGGAAAGAAAACAACGTTTCGCCCGTGGAGCCTTCTTCAGGTGTGAGAAAGCACACCTGAAGAAGTTGTGTTTTCTTTCTTCTTTTTTTCAGCATGGAATAAACCCTGTTACTTGTTCCTTTGCAGCCTACGCATGCTGACGCTGACGCAGCTACCCACCTGAACTACTACATTCTTTAACTATGTCATACCAAATGATATGTTTGTTTTTTTCATGTTAAAAATGTGCAAACTGAATAAGATTTTAATATGGCATTAACGAAAGGTTCCGTGGCGTTATTTAAAGTCCAACCTTCTGAAAATAGACCAAAATGTAAAAATGCAAATGTTTGTTTTTTTCAGATAAATGTATGGCCAACATAAATCTCCACATTTTATTTTATTACGAAATGAAAAACAAAAATAAGAGGCTGAAGCAAGATGTTCTGAAAAAGCTGCTGAAGAATTTTAAACATACATTTCAAATATAAAAGTTATTTGCAAACTACTCGTGCACCTGAAAAAACTAAAACATTTGAATACATTGTGCAAGTTTTCGTTACCTCGGTTAAACTTGTCATTAAACTTGTAAAATTTGTCCTTACCTTTATAAAATTAAATCAATAAATAATGTTTTCTGTTTTTAAAAAATAAGGTTCCTTAAATAAGGAATAAGGTGACATGTGCAAGGCTTGAGCATGAAAAGGCATGAAAGTTATCCGCCATACTCTTTAAGAACCACTGTATAAAATGTACATCATTACATTTCTGTATTTAAAAAAGCAACTTAATTTAATAAAAGCTCCCCAAGGAACTGACACTGTACCCATGCAATATAAAACCAAGATGATTTGCTTGTTTTCTTGCGGAATTTCATTTTCACAACTCTTTCATAAAGCGTACCACGTTTTTCCCAACAGCGGGACTTTTTGCAGCAAATTCTTAAGTCCAACAGGGGGCAGCGCAGACTTTCTGACTGGAAAGGCGTTCATCAGGTTCTCCTGGAAAACTCAAAGCCTGTTTCGGCTTAGTAATGTGGAAGAAGACGGGAAATATTTTCCCGATGTTCAGATTTCCTCATAGAAATGTAAATTAATGCAAAACTATATTTATACCAGTTTCAGATTACAATAAGGAAAACGCCGATGGCTTCCTTCATAATAAAACCTACAATTACACAACTAGAACAAAAAATTCCGAATACTGTATATGCAGTATTGTGTATAAAATAGTTGTCTACCACATTCCTATTTAACAATGTAAAATGGACTTTCCTATAAAGATTTAAATTCCAAAGCATATTGAAAGTGTTTTTCTTATTACCTGTTATACTTCGCTTACGGTGACTGTTAAAATGAGATAGATTCATTAAGTTATGCATTAGGCACAAAAATGAGACAGTCATAGACATGACTGGCTCTTGAACAAGCTAAAAAATTCACTCTCACGCTGACATCAGCACTGCACCAAAATGGACAGTTCCATTTGCCAAACCTCCCATTTTACAAAAACCTGTAGTTTTTAGAATCACTACTCACAAAAATGTGGAAGTGAAAAAATAGTTTACAACTTCTAGAATTATAATAAATACGAATTTGTTTTTTGATTAAGTGCAAATAATGTTTTGACCGAAACGTCCGCCCCTTGATAACAGGCGAGCGTTTCTTTCACATGAAGTTAATTATTGATTGGGACGGTCCTGCTACAGTATATAAATAAGGCGCGTTGGGCGCTCCTCTCCTTCTGCCGAGACGCCAAGATGAGTTACGGACCGGACTACTATGTCTCCTCCTCTTACCGGAAGATTTTCGGGGACTCCCCACGCTTCTCAGCCTCTCCCTCCCGGCTGGGCAGCACCACCTCCTCGCGGAGCTCCATCTCGTCCAGCGGATTTAGATCCCAGTCTCTCTCCCGAAGCAGCGCCTCTTCCCTAGGTTCGTACCGGAGAGCTGGGCGCTCGTCGTTCTCGCCGGTGTCCAGCGAAAACATCGACCTCGCCCAAACTTCCGTCCTCAACAATGAATTCAAAATCATTCGTACGAATGAGAAGGAGCAGCTGCAGGGGCTTAATGACCGATTTGCCATGTTCATCGAGAAGGTGCATAACCTGGAGCAGCAGAACAAAGTCTTGGAAACCGAGCTGGTGGCGCTGCGCCAGAGGCAGAGCGAGCCGTCCCGACTAGCTGAGTTATACCAGCAGGAGATCCGAGAACTGCGCTCCCAGCTGGAGGAGATCAACGGCGAGAAGTCGCAGATAATCATCGACCGGGACAACATTGAAGACGACTTGCAGAAGCTGAGAGCCAAGTATGACGATGAAATCAGGGCTCGGGAAGAGGCCGAGCAGACCCTGAAGGCTTACAAAAAAGACGTGGACGATGCCACGATGGTGAGGCTGGACCTGGAGAAGAAAGTGGAATCGCTCCTGGATGAGATTTCGTTCCTCAGGAAGGTGCATGAGGAAGAGGTGACGGAGCTGATGGCCATGATCCAGGCTGCCCAGGTTTCCGTGGAGATGGAGGTGGCAAAGCCGGACCTCACCTCCGCGCTGAAGGAGATCCGAGGCCAGTACGAGTCCCTGGCGGCTAAGAACCTGCAGTCGTCCGAGGACTGGTACAAGTCCAAGTTCGTCAATTTGAGTGAACAGGCAGCCAAGAGCAACGAGGCGATCCGGGCGAGCAGGGAAGAGATAAACGAGTTCAGGAGGCAACTGCAGTCCAGGACCATTGAGGTCGAGAGCCTCCGGAGCACTAACGAGTCACTGGAAAGGCAGATCCGAGAGATGGAAGACAGGCATAATGACGAAATTTCGGGCTTCCAGGTAAGACAACCGCCTGTCAGCCACTGTATGTCGCTTCGTGACAGCTCTGAACAGCTCTGAACATGATCGTCACGTCACTCAATGTATCGAAAATCAAGTTTTTAAAAATTTATAAAAATAGATGACACCAAAAACTTTTATTAAATCGTCAGTGTATTTTTTTGTCCACAATTCAATGCAGCCGAATTTACTAGAGCCCAGGTTAGTGCTTTTGGTCTGTCCACCGGTGTTCTTATTGAGAGAGTAAAAAAAAAGCTAGCTTTGAATCATTAAAATTTACAAATACTGCTGAAAATGTATAAAATAAACTTCCTTGTCACTAACGAGATCACCCGACCATTTGGAAAGGACGGCTAATTTCATTTAAAGAAACTGGAGGTGTGGGTGTCGAATCTTTTACATTAAGATCACCAGCTATGACCACAGTGTACTCCCACACATACTATTTGTATCAATAATTTAACGGGATAACACTAAAGTATTAGCCATACTGTAGGTGTAGCTTCAAGATTAACAGTTGTTTTACTAAATGAGCCACATTTCCATTGTGAAATATTGAAGATTTCATGATGCTCTAAACAGCTTGTACTTAATACATCTTTGAAGTTTTTTAAGTGTGGTATTCAAAGGAGAAAACGCTTGAAAACTTGTCCGTTGCGGTTTTCTATTAAACAAAGATAAACGCATACAAAGGTTTAAAAGTTTTATTTAGAGCTTGGTTATTGAATACACGGTGGTCTTCTAGAACAATTGGTTAATCTTGAACAAACGAATTACATACTCTCAGGCAAAGAATATATTGTTTTTTATTACCAAATAACTTTTAAAACTCTACGTTCTCCGACCATTCCCTGTCTTAATTTGAAATAGGTGATCTGTAATGAGATGAAGTATTATTCAAATAATATTAAACAATAGTCTGTAAATAAATTAGGAAATATTAAAAAGTTAACGCGCTACATGTCCTATTAAATCTGGATCGTACTCCATCCTATAATTATATCGTTATATTATACATATATATAATATTAAAACTGTATATTCTTGCTTAACGTCTGTAAACGCCCATCATTCAATTACTTAAATAAGTTAGGAACAATGTAATTAATTTTAATTATAGTACGGTTATTATCATTTAACGGGGCTGTGTGGTGCCTTTAACCTTTCTTGCCGAGTTGAAATACTGATTCAGCACCATGGACAGAGGGCACGAGTATCGCCAATATCCCCAATTTCTGGCGTTTTACTAGCATTCCTCTCGTGACGTGCGTTTTATTATTCTGAAGACGGCAATTTTTAACTACCCCGAGAATACCTTCGATTGTGCTTTGCATTGATACACGTATTGTGCCAAATACAAGACACTAAAAATTATTTTCTCAGGATCGCTACATTTTCCTTTTAATTCTACATTTGACCATACTACAGAATAATTAAAAGCACTGCAAGAAGGGACAATTAAAACCGGAGAAGCTTCGAGCTCTTGCTGTTAGAGCCAGGAGCTCTGGCCATGGTGCTGAAGCAGTAAAGCGACAAGGTTAACTGACGGCTCCGCAGAAACCTGATTAAGAAGATTCCACGTAAAGATTAAGCTGTCAAATCACAGCGGAAGCAGTGGGAAACAACAAATATTCAGATCGTTTTAGGATAGTTTTGTGATATAAAAACACCGAGTCTGAGTGTTTAGTTTTTTTTCTTTTACTTTGACAAGTGATAAATCAGCAGGTACATACCAACAGACATATCTGAATATACCGTACATACAAACAGTCATATAATATATACACACCGATTGTATTGTGTTGATATTAATTAAGTATGACTGCAGTATTTCCACATTTTAAAAATACGTAAGAATACAACAGTGTTCCCAGAGTTCCCTGTAATCGTCTTTACGTATTACAGCTTCTAAATCCTTAAAACCGGGATGATGGAGTGAGTTCTCCGCTGGTGTACTAGGCACGGTTCCACCTATAGAAATCAGATTAAGATTTGTTGTGGTGTGCCCAAGTAAGATTGGAGAAGCATTGCTGTTCTTTTAAACCATTTTTATTTATCCATTAATTGTAGATTAGTTTATCAAACTTACAAATTTTGACACATCGCAGCGAAACACTAACCATTATCTTTGGTACTTTTTAAAAGGGTGAAAAGAATAGGGGAATCCAATCCATTTTCTAATGGCTTCATCCAATTCAGGGTCACGGGGATCTGGAGATTATCCTGCCATAGGCACAAGGCAAGGTTCACACTGGATGAGATGTCAGTCCATCGCAGGGATCACACACAGACACACACCCACACCAGAGTCAATGTTCCCAGAAGCCAATTAATCTACCAGTGTGTCTTTGGACTGTGGGTGGAAACCAGAGGAAACCCACGTGAACATGGGTGGAACATACAAACCACACAGAGCACCCCAGGTCCAAAAGTGAGCCCAGGGCCCCAGTACTGCAAGGCAGCAATGGTAACCTCTGAGCCATAGACTTAGAAGTCATTCTAAGCAAAAATCCACTTATTTATAAATCAAATAATTATAAATTGAACTGAAAAACATTGATCTATATATTTTTATGCAACTGAAAATGTGGCATACCGTTTACACAGTAAAACACTTCAATTGAGTAATAAATATACTCTATAGTAAAAGGTATTTAATCAATTACTGTTATTTTCCTCATGAATTCATTTTAAGAGGGAACTCAAAAAGTATTTGAAGGTCTAAAATTTGCAATTAGATATGTTTGGAGACACTAACCTCTGATAGACAGATAAGTTATGCTGGTATTCCTATGGAATAATGGGTCGTATTATACATCTTTGCCTTCTAATTAAGTATTTGTATTGTATAGGTAAAAGCGATTGTATACACATGATATAATTTTGTTTTCTAAATACTGCTGATATCATGGTGGTTACCATTAGCTGTTTGCACAGCGACCCTGTGAGTGATCAGAGAGGTACTTGAAATGGAAAATGGGTTGCCTTTCTTGCCTCCTGTACAGGATACAATCGGGCAACTAGAGAACGAACTGCGGACCACCAAGAGTGAGATGGCCCGCCACCTGCGGGAGTACCAGGACCTGCTGAATGTCAAGATGGCTCTGGACATCGAGATTGCAGCTTACAGGTACAGTGTCACATGCACTGCCAATTCCAGCCCCAGGAGGAACATCACACACTCTAGCACTGATACGTTTGCACATGGAATTGAATTTTATCAGCTTTGCACGCACAGATTTTTTTTTTTACTCTGAAAGAAATCTAAGCAGCATTCACTCCCAGTCCTCAACTGCAACTCACTTTTGTGTCTGTGAAGTTAAAAGAAGTAAACATCTGCTGGCAGGCTGATAGGGATAAGACAGTGACTCTCAATGATATTAGCTTTCAAAATTCACAGTAGTGAAAGGAAGTGAGAGTCGTATAGCCTAATGGTCTCTTTTTGTATTCCAAGAAATAATGAATAAATAGATTTATGACATTAAAATATAAATGATATATCATATACTGTACATAGTTTTCTTAGTCCTGTGGCTTCCTTGGTAAGGGGACTGATAAAGCTCCATTCAATGAGATGGCATCTTATTTAGTTAGGGTTCTTTTTTACTGGCTGAAATTCTGTGGTTCATTTTGTCTGTATACAATACAATGGTGTAATAGGGAAGCACAATCTTGGAAAAAACCTTAGGGCAGTGTTTCATATTAATGCACTCACAAATTTTAATTGTATCACTTGTCACATTGCACTGACCCTAGTCTTTCCGACTTAAAAAACAGCTGGTTCAGTCTTTTCTGCATTGACATTTGAAAAATACAGCTGCTTCTGTATACATGCTGTTTATTTATGTAATAGGCATATACAATTACAGCAGCGATTGAAATTTCAGCAGTGTGCAGCATGTACCTGGCTAACAAGAAATCATTCTGAAGCACCTCTTAAAGAGGTGTTGAAGTGTTATCCACTCATGGGCAAGTTAATAAAAAGCAACCTCTCTCCCTGGCTCCTGTCTGCAGATATTAGTCACCCTTCTGTGTGTCAAAGCATTTGAAAGGGCAAGCACTGCCCTTCAAAACGTCTTACAGCTTCATGGCTTGGTTCTTGCTTGGCCTGAGCAATACAGCCAGAGAAAAAACCCTTTTGGAAGAGTACCATGTGCTGATTTTGCAGCTTGGTTAACACCAGTGGAAAAGGGACTTTAGTAACCAATTACGCAAGAGCCACAGTCCATCAAGGAAGGCTCTAACATTTTCAGTGGTGTATTCTTGAGTAAGGTATTGCAAACTGATTACTCCAGTAAAATGCCCTACCATACAAACAGGTACAAACGTTAAGTCACTTGATATATGATCATCAGCTAAATAAAATATTACTGTTGCAAAGGAATAGTTCACTAAATATTTTAATTAGGTGCAACCACAGACTCCTAATTATAAATGTTCTGTCAAAGTGGCTGGTTTCTATAATGATATTGGAGAGGACAGTAGCTTCCATGGCCCTCCTCAGACAGAGTACAATTTACATCCTCTCTCTTTTCCCTTTACACACAAACATACCAGAATCAAGGGTAGAGTATAAATACAACCCTTAACGTGCAAGAACCAGATACAGTCAATTGAAAAGTGAAAATGACAACTTAAATATTCACTTCCGGAGGCATTGCATATCTAGCTGTTAAATATTCACCACACAGTGTGTAAATGTCATATTGTTTTAGAGCAATTTACCAGCTGAAGATTTTTAAACCAAATCAGCCTCTACAACATGATAAGCCTGATCAGAAAAGAAGCATTACAAAACTCAGGAAAATAAGTATAGGTGGTATATTTTCCTAAACATATTCTGTACATTAAATACAGTATGTAGCAGTCTGAGAAATTCAGTTAATGCCCTTATTGAAATGTGCCCATGTTCAAAAGAACAAATAGATACAAAACATGGATTTTAGGTCATTTGATATTGTAGTTCGCTTCACTTACATTCATATTCAACAAATGGTTTTTTTCAAACCACATTAAACTTACATATCATTTTATCAAGCTGCTTAGCTCTCTGTTTGTAGTTCAGACAGTACAGTACTAGCTAGCTGGCTAATCAACAAGAAGGTCAATCCTTTAACAGATTCTGTAAACAACTATCAATATTGGCAAGATTCCATTTAACAAAGCACTTACTTTTCAGTTTACTGCTGTACATTGATATTCATGCTGATTCCCAATGCCTGGGCCACTGTTTCTTACTTAAGAGAAAGGAAGGAAAACTGCCATATAATTATAATTATAATTGCGTACACTTACATAACGCTTTTCTGGACACTCCACTCAAAGCGCTTAACAGGCAATGGGGACTCCCCTCCACCACCACCAATGTGAAGCCCCACCTGGATGATGGCATATAAAGTACTATTTACTCAGTACAAAAATATGTTAAAGTACTAATATCCTTTTTTATCATCTTATGAAATGCCTGTACTATTGAAAATTGCTGGTGATTATTGATAATTAACAATTAACAATCTGAGCCAAGTGGACTCATCTTATGTTACTTCACATTAAAAAACACAGACAGCCCTTTTTGTTGTTTTACTTGAATTCCTAACTTCACGTATCAGTTTCCTTGCAAGAGTATGTGACAAATTATGGACGTCATGCTGTTTGTCAGCGGCATTGTTAAATGACATAAAGCATTTTATGATTACAAAAGGAAACCCATACTTTTTGCTCAAACCACTTTATGTGATATTTTTTTTCCCAGACTAAATCGAAGAATAAATTTAAGAAATGAACTGGTTTTAATAAAATTCTATATGTGCTGTCTACCCTTGATGTACCTGCATAGTAAAGAAGGGGTTTCTCTCTGGTTAGGACCTTGATTAGTACAGTACCTCTACCACATGGCAGCTCCATGGATATGGTAAGGCTGAAGCGAACGAGAATGTGAGGTACAAGCCCTTTAAGCTGCGGTTGCTCGTTTCTGTCCCAACCAGGAAACTACTGGAGGGAGAGGAGACCCGATTCAGCTCTGGAATTAGCCTCCCCACCCCTAGCCTGGGTCCAAGCCTGAGCTACGGCTACCAGACACGGGTCTACACCAGTTCCTCCAAGGCCTCCTCCTCCTCCAAGAGGGAGGAGAAGGAGAAGGAGGAAGAGGCCCCAGCTAAGCCCGCGAAGGCTCCCACCCAGCGCGAGACCTTTGAGGAGATCATCGAGGAGACCATAGTCTCCACCAAGAAGGTGGATAAGACTGAGCCTGGGGAGGTTCACCCTGCTAGCCAGAAAAACTAAAACACCCCACTCTGCTACATCTCTCAACCCAAGAGCAGTCTTAGAGAGGAATCCCTCACTGATCCGAGTTTCTCTTGAATCTTGACATTCAACAATCCAATTGCGATCCCACTTATTCTCTTTTATAAACACTGTAGAAACACCGTGAGCAAGCTTCAGCAAAGACCTTTCCTCAAAATCAGAATCCATCGTTACAATAATATGGCGGGTTTCAGACTGATTATGTGCTCTGTCAATGCCAACCTATGCTTAGATCTCAGCATATAATCGCTATTGAAAAACCTATTCCAAAGGGGGTGTTTGTACACAAAGAACAACTGAGATCCATATTCATTTTATAGAACAAAAATGGCATTGGTATTGAAAGCATGACACTTGTGTAGTATAATCACTGTTAATTGAATCTCTTACTGCTGCAATGTCATACATATCCTTACGATGTGCACATACAGTGCTGCATAAATAGATTCGTCTTGTTCCATATGTGCACAACTGAAAACAGGATTCCTCTCTGAGACTGCACTTGACACTGTGAGCCAGATCCTAGTTTCACTCCCTCTTGAGAAGGAAAGAGATGAAAATCATTAGGTGCATGTCGTGCTTTTCATGTTTGCATGGTAGTTCTGTGTGGGCCATTGACCATTCCCCATTAGATCTCCTTAAAAACTCCTGTCATCAGTCATAGTGTTTGTGTTCATTTCAGATGTTTATGCTGGAACTGCATAAGTGGGTGATAATTAGTTACACTAATATACGTACTGCAACTCTTGTGTCCACAACACAGCACTGCCACAGTCTTTTACAATGCTAGCCAGAGCTCACCTGATGATGGAGGCCTGATTTAGGGTGCATTTATTTAAGAATCTCTGCATCTCATTCATTTGGGACTCTCTCCGACAACTCCTGATCTTTAAAGTCTTGGATACCAAAAATGATACTGGTCAAGACAAACCCTAAGAAAAACGAGAGAGAAAGTTGGTTAATACCAAGAACACCAAGGCACAGTTCTAAAGGTTGTGTTAAAGACTGTGTCTTGAGATGATGACCATTAATCCGCATGACATTTTTCCAAAAAAACAACATACTCTGTGATACAAAAAAAATGCTCCGTGACTACCACTTTGGTATGAACCAGTGAGCACAATGACTTCAGATAAAATCAGGATTTGATTGTAGAAACAAATGCCTACTGAATTTAATCTCCATAATGTCTGAAGCCCTTGTAAACTGTGGTGAGCAGGTTGTAGATCCATCTGAGCCTAAGCAGTTCAACAGACTAGTTACAACACATATCTAGCCTTAAAAAGAGTTTCACTAAAACAGCTGATGGTCGATTTGTCAGTGGTGGTGGTCAGAAGAGGGGTCATGTGTCAAACAACATATTGAAGAACAATGTTTTAAAGCAAGCTTTAAGCAAGGGAACCAGCAACTGTGAACAACCTTCAACTAGTTTAGAATTAAACCTCTTTGGATGTATGGTATTCTTATTTCTTACTGAAACCAAATTCACGTTTAGTGTACACTGTTTAAGAATTATTGTCTTCAGACAAAATTTAGGCAGAGTTTTAGAACTTGTAATTCATGTATGACGCTATATGCATAACACTGTTATTTATATCAGGAATTTAGAAAAATTGATATGTGTGCCACTTAGACATACTTAAGAGACACAAAATGTATATTTTCTTGCAGCACGCTTGTAAGAGAAATATAATCTGATGTTTACTCTTTTCATTGCTGGAGATTTCTTTGACATGATCAACTTTCCTCTAGCCCACAATGAAGTATTGCAGAGCCACTCCTGTAGTAAAACGTGTTGCTTGTGTAGCAGAAAGTCTCTTTTCATATTGCTCTTTGTATGAGATGCCATACACCCTCTGCCCAAAGCTGTCATGAAAACTTTAGGGCTCAGATTTTGTCACATTGAAAAAAGGGGAGATTAAGTCACAGGTGAGTGGCATGCATTACAACGGACTCCTCTGAAACTATAAAGAGTGCACTGCCAAACCTTTTCTAATGCATCTGTGGCCAGCTCTGAAAACATTTAAGAATAAATGTAAACCTAAAAGATAAAATGAATGCTGTAGGTTTTTCAAAATGCCTTAATAACACCAGCAGCTTTTCCACTCTGGCGGTCTGTGTGCTTAGTAATGTATGTGATGCCGAAAAGGTGTTGCTTTGATTTGTTTTTTCCTCCATGTGAACCAGAATGAAATGTAGAATATTAGCATTGAAAGGATAGTGACTGAAAGAAATTAATATTTCTTCTTCCTTTGTTTCCTGACTGCTCTAAGGCACAATAAAGACTTGACACAATTACAATGGCAATGTGTCCTTTTTTCTGCATTGGTTCATTATTAATTTCAGTTGTATTGGCTAAAAAGAATTAGAATGGCTTTTAATTTTATTTTTGCTGAAGTCTCCCAACAGCTATTCACATGTGAGCAGGGACTGGAGATTTGCATCATCCTACCTCACAGACTAGCTAAAGCTTGTTCTTAACACATCTGAAGGAACTGCCATCTTGCCTCATTAATCCAATTCTCAACAGAGGTCGCTGAGACGTGTAATGTGGATTCAAAGCCCAGATAACTAACTGTGGAAACACTTAAATCAAATAGCCATGACCTGTGGTTCTCAGTAAGCATGTGCCAACTCACAAAGGAGATGTTTTTCAAAATGCAGTGGCCCATACAATTTTTCTCTTTATTCTTGTTTTTTTAAGTTCTTAAAATCCTTCTCAGTCCTTACATGGGCCATGTAAAACAGGCAAGTTGTTCTGAGGTGTACTTTGAATTTGAATGTGGGATTTGGTTGTAAAAACTACCTGAGTGAATGCTCCCTAACCTCCCCCCCAGGACAATGTCTTATCAGCCCATACTCAGGAGAGTTTTTCTCTATTAATTCACAACCATCCTCATGTGGCTGTTCAGACTCTTTAGATGTTAAGTTTGCTCAAACCTAGATGACTTCAGGATGTGTGAATACTACATTCTGAATGCACATTTATGTTCTTAAAATGTTCGTACCAAAGCCAAGAATACTGAGATGTTTTTGAATAATTTCTTATACTAACAGAAGTGTACCTGAACATTTCTATTCAGTACACCCTGTTCTTATGCATCAAAAAGACTAAGCTAAAATAGGAACCAACAAACAGTCTTGGATACTGTATGACAACCAATGAACACTGACTTGAGAGTTCTGAAGCACCTCTGTTACAGTCACCCTGCTGCATCACAGTGGGGTGTGTCATGGCTACATCCACCAGCAGCCCTCCTCCACTCTGCACTGATCACGGAGGAAAACAGGATATACAGAGGTTCTGACTTTAGTGAAACGTCAAACAGTACCAGCTGCTCTGGGGTATTTAGCCCTGTTTATCCTCTCCTTGGTGATCTGGCATTAATATGAACTTCACTTCACTCCTGAGCCATCTTACAGATTCCCAGCGGAGCCCTTTCTGTTCCTGAGACTTTCCAGGTACAGAGGATGGGACTGTGTTAGTCTCCTTACCCGGACCTCAGCAGGTGACTGCCTCGGTCCAATCGCGGCGTGCCTCCCGTGTCCGCTGTAGAGACCAGGTAGTGGTGTGGAGACCCCTGCAAAGAGCGTGTCCCACTTGGCGTGCACTTGGATGACCACCCCAACTGAAAGTTTCCAGGCCCAGCCTGCCTTGCACTATGCCCTGGACGAAGCACACCCCAAACTCTAGGTTCTCACCCTGTCCTGCACTCCCTCCCTGTGTCCAGTCCCAGCCCACCTGCATGCATCCGGGTGATTTCGGTGGACTGTCCTTTACCCTGGGAGGTCCTTGCTCCTGGACCCCAGCCATTAGGAATCCAGACAGTGCCTTTGGGGAAGAAGAGGACCAGCCCTTGCTCCCACAGACCAGCTGATTCCCCTGGGCAGTCTCTCTTCGGGCTGGACCTGCTCCATGTCAGCCCGCTCCACGCCTGAGGCGCCGTCAACCACCCACTACTCCTGGACTGTCAACGCCCTTGCTCTTGGGACCATAACACTGCTGCGTTCGCCCCTGTTCCCTGGGTGGTTCCACGGGTTATAACAACATGTGGAACCTGAGGTTCAGCACCAGTGTGGTTAAGTTTCCAACCCTTACCTTCTTGTTTGTTTGCATCCCTGTCAATAAATTACCTAAAATAAGTAGAATTATTTTACACTAAGCGCATTCACAATGGGATTTTTGATATTCTTAAAAGACAGTGATAAATCCTAAAACATATTCCAAAAACTCAAAGTAGAAAGGCAGAAAAAGAAACTAACTGCACAGCAAAGGAGCATAATAACATCCACTGATGCAAAGAAAACAGGTCTGTCCCCTGAGTGTCTGCTTTGATGGTGTGACTCCACTTATTTCTATAGCAACTGCGAGAGGTAATTGCTGAGTGCCTGGAAATCCCCAAGGTTTTTAAACAGACTGAGGGTTGAGGCCTTTTTTTTAAAGTTATGTTGCACTTCCAATCTGAATAATATTGTAATAAAGATCTTGTGTGGAGGTAGAATTTGTTTTACAAACACAAAATTATTTTTACAGGAATTTAATATCCTGGGTTAAGCTATAAGTATGTTTTATAATAATCCTGAGGTTAAAAGTAATTGCAATGTTTTCCAAAATATTTCACTGCTGTTACTATATCGAAATATATTAATATAAAAGTTTTAGTTTCTTGTAGACCTGTAATCTTCAGGGAGAATTTCAGAGCTAGAAGCATAAGGGCAAAAATTCATGAGGCAACTGCATTAACAGGTAACTAAGACATTACAATAAAGTTGTGAAACATGACTAGAGGAGAATAACAGAAATGAAAATAAAAAATATTACACAGAAGAGAGAGGCAGGCAGCTGAAGCAAGAGAGTACATGCAGTTTAAAATGAAATTCTTTGGGTTTAACAGTAGGTGTATGCTACTGACCACCTAATGCAGAGATGGATGTACAGTAAGTAGCTCACTTTATGATGAGGTAAGGAAGATATGTTGCAAATGTGACATTATTTTCCTGGGAGATTTCATTTTTTCTTATATTGTTTTATGTAATATAATGTGTTACATAAAATTGGGAAAGTGTTATTGTAGATACAGAAACTAAAACTGATATTGCTGAAATGTTTAATGATTAATCCAGTTTGTAATAGCAGGAAACACAGTACCTGGGATATTATACTATGCACTATTCATGATACCTGAGTGATGCAGTGCTGCAGGAAACCACATACAGCGTAATTGTGGAATTTAAAAGAGGAGACAGAATGCTCAAGGATGCTCCTTTAGATAATTGTACTGAGTTTTGATCGCCATAACACAAAAAGGATATTACAGTCTCAGACGCAATTGCAAGAAGAGTGACAAGAATGATGACTGGTCCTTGGGGATTGTCATATACGAATAGAGATCTGATACAAGCCTATTATGTCCTAAGGGGTAAGGCTGGAATAACTAAAGGGTCTATTTCATTCTTTTTCATGCTAAGGTTCACAAAAACAGAAACGGAAAGAGATTCCAGAGATGAGAATAAAAAACCTTTTTTGGACAAAGAGTTACGGATATCTGGAGTATGTGAGAGATGGTGGTCTCTTTCAAGAAGTGTCTGGACAAAACTTTACACTCACTAAGGTACTAAACTACCAAATGATCAAGATCGAACAAATGGCCTCCTCTCGTTTAAGTTTTTATGTTCTTATGGTCTAAGACATAAAACATCTAAAGGCTTGAGAAATGAAAAGAAAAACAATATTTCATAGCTATTTCAGCTATGGAGAATTCTTTAGGGTAATATCTAAAAATCTAAAAGCTCCTTTCTTCTACAGCTCTTTAACTGAAACCCCAGGCTATAAGGAAACCTGCATCTGTCATTCAAAGAAACGGCACAAAGGATAATAAATGAATGCACCCAAATAGTAACACAAGCAAGGGCTAGAATCAGTGCTCTAGTGAGTCAGGTATTGAGTCCCATAGCTTTAGGACAGGAATTATACAATTCTACTTAAAACATTTCAGTTGCATAAAAATCAACCCTTGTCGGCAGAGATCCCGGAAAATGAAAAAAACTTTAAACTGTCAGTGAACTTAAAAATCACCGATTTAAAATGACAGTTTTTTTTAAGTGTAGGGCTGCAACTGCCTCAGTTAAGAAAGGCATGGATTGGTCTGACCGTGAGTTATATAGAACAAATCCAGGAATCTCTGTCACCTCGGGTCTGAGCCTTTTAACAGAGAAGCATGAACGTTGAAGCCATTAAAACAGAATACATGATTATTTAACTAATCGCATTTTAGTTTTTTCTTCCAGGTCAATGGTTTTTCCTAAACCCAGTGTTATTGCATGAGATCGACATCTGTACGGCTACTGCCGAATGATCATTTTCCTGTCCTTCGGAGGTGTGCCCCAGTGAAATTGAGTTCTTTGTTGCACTGACCTTTTGTGTATCCCTCCCCTCCCCCACACATCTCCCTGTGCTGGCCAGTGGGAAACCCCCCCCCCACTTCCTGTCCACACAGCTGGGGACCGGGCAGCCCATGACTCAGTCTGCGGGTCTTTAAAGATTTATACCTCTGCAGTGCTGGCTGAGTGGGGTGTGGCAGGTAGGGATTGCTCTACCATGACATAACACACCAGCTGCGACTGGAAAAAGGAAGAACTCCACATAAAATCTAAGACCTAGTATATTCCTGAATCAGTTACTTCCTTACTCTTTTCAACTCACATGGGGCCTCCTGTCTGCTTTGTGCCTGTGTAACTGCTCCTCTGATGTTACTGCTAAGGGATTATCATTATTACCTGCTATTCCAGTTAACCTACGGGTATCTGGCAAAAATTGCCTCCTTAAAACCTTATGAGGACAGAGGGATTCTAATGGTCTCAATCACTTTTCCTTTTATCCTCATCTAAAATGAGATTTTTAAAGGTCTTATGAAGAAGCTGATTTTCTGGAGGAGATAGGCGTGTGGAAAATAGCAAAGCAAATGAATTTATCGCTAATTCATGTGTTCTTTGTTTTTAAGCTGCATTACTGCGGCTGTTGAAAAGCATGCAAAGGATGTTTTTTTAATAGGTCTCCTGCATCTTATTTGATTCCTACCACTGATAATCAATTTCTAATAACCATGGTAATGAGACCTGTATTTGTGAAAACTACAGCAGCAGATGACTTTGAGAAAAGGGGAATCATTTAGGAAGACCGCAGCACCCACGGGGGCAGCCACTTCTATGAAAGATGGAAGAAGAAGTGGCAGTGTTCTTTTTAGTTTCCTGTGTCTTGCCATCCTTCTCCCTCTGTCATGACGTGGTTGGTTTTATCA